TTTGGGAACGGTCTCTAGCATATGGTGCGCTTGAACCCTGCATGTAGCCATGTCATTGTTCAGCAGCCTGCCATGCTCTGCCAACCTTGGGACTTTCAATGGACTTGAATTAATGGCCTGCCATGTGGTTTGGTAACACTGGGACTGTGCTTTTTTACTTGTCAACCTTGGGTTTGTCAACCTTGGAAGCCAGCAGCTTTCTGAGTGAACAAAAGCCTCTAGCTTCAGTGGGCTGGGAGCAGAAGGCAGAGCTGAAGCCCAAGGCTGAGGTGCTTTCACCCAGGCCCTAGAACCTGGCACTTTGAACTCAGACTTAAAGCCTCCAAAGTGTAAGAGAATAAACTCCTATTTGTTAAGGCCATCCCATTTGTGGTATGTCTGTTAGAGTGGCACTAGGTAACCAAAACATTTACAAACCAATCACTAATGGCAAAGATGAAGAAATTGAAGTTTTGTTTGTTTGTTTGTTTGTTTTACCAACTTCTGCAGTCTGAAATTGATGAAACACACAATTGAGATGTATTGGTAATTACTGGTGATTAGAATGCAAAAGCTGGAAACAATGAAAGCTCAGTAATTGCAAAACAGCGTTGGTGATAAAAATTATGCCAGTGATCAAATGACAGAATTTTGTAAGACCAGCTACCTATTCTTGGAAGGAAGGTTGAACAATCTATTTCTGTAGTGATACCGCCTCAGAAACCCAAGGAGGGGTTGCTATGAGTCGGGTTTGACTCGATGGCAGTAAGTTTGGTTTTCTTGAACTACCTATTCACTGTAAATATTGAACAAGGCCAAGAGCTGACTGTGGAAAGGACCATCAATTGCACATATGCAAGTATAAATTGAAGCTGAAGAAAATTAAAACAAGTCTACGACAGCCAAAATATGATCTTGAGTATATCCCACCTGAATTTAGAGGCCATCTCAATAGATTTGACTGATTGAACACCCATGATGAAAGACCAGATGATCTGTGGGATGACATTAAACACAATACATGAAAGGAAGAAAAGATAAAGTAGATGACAAGAGACTCTGAAACTTTCTCTTGAATGGAGAGTAGCTAAAGCAAATGGAAGAGATGATGAAATGAAAGAGCTGGACGGAAGATTTCAAAGGCAGCTTGAGAAGACAAAGTAAAGTGTTATAATGAAATGTGTAAAGACCTGGAATAAGACCTTCTAAAGACAGAAGGAATACAAAGAGTCATTGTACCAAAAAGAATTAGTCAATGTTCAACCATTTCAGAAGGTAGCATATGATCAGGAACCAATGGTATTAAAGGAAAAAGTCCAAGCTGCACTGAAGGCGTTTGTGAAAAACAAGGCTCCAGAAATTGATGGAAGACCCACTGAGATGTTTCAGCAAATGGATACAGTGCTGGAAGTGCTTACTTGTTTATGCCAAGAAATTTGGACCACAGGTACCTGGCCAACTGACTGGAAGAGATCGATATTTGTGCCCATTCCAAAGAAAGGTGACCCAACAGAATGTGGAAATTATTGAACAATATCATTAATATCACACACAAGTACAATTTTGCTGGAAGTAATGAAAAAATGGTTGCAGCAGTACATCAACAAGAACTGCCAGAAATTCAAGCCAGATTCAGAAGATGGTGTGGAATGAGGGATATCATTGCTGTTGTCAGATGGATTTTGGGTGAAAGCAAGAACACCAGAAAGATGTTTACCTGTGTTTTATTGACTATTCAAAGGCATTTGACTGTGTGGATCATAATGAGGAATCTGTGCAAAGACCCAGATGCAGTTGTTACAATAAAACAAGGGGATACTGCATAGTTTAAAATCAGTAAAGGTATGTGTCAGGGTTGTACCCTTTCATAAAGATTATAATCAGTCTTTATGCTGAGCAAATAATCCAAGAAGCTGGATTATATGAAGAAGAATGCAGCATTAGGATTGGAGGAAGACTCATTAAGAATCCATAATATGCAGATGACATAACCTTGCCTGCTGAAAGTGAAGATGACTTGAAGCATTTAGTGATGAAGATCAAAGACTACAGCTTTCACTAAGGATTACACCTCAACATAAAGACAACAAAAATCCTTAAAACGACATCAATAAACAAAATCACAATAAATGGAGAAAAGATTGAAGTTGTCAGGAATTTCATTTTACTTTGATGCAAAATCAATGCCCATGGAAGCAGAAGTCAAGAAATCAAAAGATGTGTTGTATTGGGCAAATCTGCTTCAAAAGACCTCTGTAAACTGTCAAAGATCAAAGACGTCACTTTGAAAACTAAGGTGTGCTTGACTCAAGCCTTGGTATTTTTAGTAGCCTCATATGCAAATGAGAGCTCAACAATGAATAAGGCAGACTAAAGAATAGATGCATTTGAATTGTGGTGCTGGTGAAGAATATTGTATGTACCATGGATTGCTAAAAGAATGAACAAATCTGTCTTGGAGGAAATACAGCCAGAGTGTTCCTTAGAAGTGAGAATAGCTAGATTTTTCTCACATACTTTGGTCATGTTGTCAGGGAGGACCAATCCCTGGAGAGGCATATCATGCCGGGTGAAGTGGAGGGTCTGTGAGAGAGGGGAAGACTCTCAATGAGATGGATTGACACAGTGGCTGCAACGATGGGCTCAAGTATAACAACCGTTGTGAAGATGGCACAGGACTGGGCAGTGTTTTGTTTTGTTGTACACAGTGTTGCTATGAGTCGAAACCTACTCAACAGCAGCTAACAACAACAACATATTCATGCTTAGCTGGACAATGAATAAGGAAGACTGAAAAAGAATGGATGTCTCTGAATTATGGTGTTGGTGAAGAATATTGAAT